GGAATGGAAATGTTGATACCGTAACAAGATTTATCCACCTCTCTTTAAAATCTACAAGAGCTGTGTCTGACTGATTTTGTTGTAGATACAGTTAAACCTCTCCACAACGGCCACCTTGAGGACAGAAGAAAGTGGCCGTTGTGAAGAAGTGGCCATTGTAGAGAGGTTAAATGAATGTATGGACAGCCCGACAGGACCAAAAAAGTAGCCGTTGTGGAAAGGCGGTCATTGAGAGAGGTGGCAGTTTGTTCAGGCTCGACTGTATTGTGAAAACCAAACAGACAAACAAACACGCCAAACCAATGAAAACCAAGACAGCTGTACACTCACGTTTTCCAACCTCTGCCCATGCAGTTAATAGACTGCTCATACTCCTGCATTCCTTCCACGAGACCAGAACCATTACATCTGAAAAACGAAAAACATAGCTAAATAAATCAATAAGTCAACTATCTTCGGATTTAACGAAGAAATGAATCCCATATCTTCGGATTTCACGACGAATCAAATCGCCTATCTTCGGATTTCACGGCTAATCAAATTCCATATCTTCGGATTTCAAAAGGAATCGAGTCCCAAATCTTCGGATTTGAAAAGAAATTGAGTCCCAGATCTTCAGATTTCACGAGGTCTCCCTGATCTTTGGGTTTCGGATGGTCATTGGAACGCGAAATCTAAGAATTTCCATTTCCAAGATCTACGATTCGGTTCCAAGATCTACAATTCGGTTCTTTGAGCGGTACTCGGATGTTTTTGGTTTCCTTCATGTCTGTGAGCAAACAAATAACATTGTTCTTCATTAAAACGAATATGAAACTAAAGATTTTGACATTAACGTACCCTTCCAGATCCACAACACTTGTAGCAGCGCTTGTACCCCCCAGCCATGCAATCATGACACGGCTGGAAAGAAAAATGAAATGAAACAAAATGAATACGAGATCAGAAAAAAACGAAACTCATTTAATAACAAATTGTCCATGCTGAATAAACTGACAGTTACGGAACTCTCCCATATTTGACCCTGGGGGCATGTTAGCCTAAAGAGTTAAATTCATCTGATGGATAGGACTTCATCTGATGGGACTTGAAGTTCTGCAGTCAAGCATCGCCAGAGGCTTCCTATTTTTCGCATTGCTGACCAAGCATGTGATCAAGATGGCTGGATATTGGTCAAGTTCGTTTGGTGTTTTCATGCATAGCCCGCTTAAAACGTGTAATATTTTGCCTTTTTTCCCCTTCCTTTTTTAGCGCAAATCATCCCAATTCAATTCATATTCATCTCTTGAGGAGAGGGTGGAAGGGTGAGGTTAGCTATACAGTAAGTTGTATTCTTAGCTTTTGCACCCTAAGATCAGTATGTATATTCTCCATTTTGTTCTCCGTACATTTTCTGAGGCGCTGACGAGGAGATTTGTTGAACAATCGAGAGCGTTTTTGGTTGGTGTTTATTTCCTTTATTCTCCTGACCTTTATATGTCATTCAGGGTTGATATTGTAAGGAGAAATAAGATGTTAGTCACTCTAAGGGGTAAAAAGGTTAAAAAAGGGCACTGTCACCTAACAAAAAAATAATGTACATATCTCGATGGTTGTGGTGTGAGGAACTTGAATATTGGTTGTAAAGTCATTAAACAACTGAGGGAACTGGGCAGGAATGCTCCATG